GTTGGTTCTTGTTGAAGGATCTCGGTTCGGGTCTATGACTATGACGTGGCCTAGGAGTGTGTACGGTGAGAAAATGGAAATGGCCATCGGCAAACGTACAAGCAACATGTTCCGGTCCCACGAGCTGACGATGTCTTCGACGAAAGGCCAGACCTTATGGCATGCAAGCTCGTCTCGAAGGCTGGTCACGCGGGGTTTGTCGACTACAGCGCATTCGGGACTTCTCTGGGACTGCAACTTATGTCGAACGGGCGTCTCAGCTCGAAGGGGGTTTATTTTATTGCCAGGTGGAAGAGAGACAGCATCAACCTGAAAATTCCCTACTGTAAGCCCTAAGTAGGCATTGTGACGGCGCTTTCCATCTCAGAGCCAGTGCTGAACTGGCTCTCTTCCCCATGAGGCAGCGACCTGTGAGCCAAGAGTGGACGGGGCCCCGACATCCGTGGACAAGTAGCGATTCAGGATCAGTTCCGACAGGATCGGTGCCACCACCAGACCCCCGCCTGTCCAAAAGCAGCCTACGGATCCAGCGGGGGCCTAGCTCTTCTGCGATGTGCAAGCATGTGCAAGCATGTGCAAGCATGTGCAAGCATGGGCAGCATGGGCAAGCTGCTGTACCCTACTCTGAGCCAGCACTGCAATTCTCAGTCAGCGACTCCCGAAGGGTCCCCGGAGAGCATCGAAGGACTTCTTCCAGTCCTCACGGAGCACCAGAAGGCCCTGGGGCCGGATCGCAGGAGGCGAAGATTCAGTTGCCGTGTTCCCGCAACTCGCCCGTCCTCCCGAAAGCTCCACGGCAGTAAGCCTCCCCAGCCTGAAATTTGGACAGGGTGGACGATCAATGTGCTCCATTGTGCTCCGATTTAACCTCGACCTGTGGGCCTTGGTGACCCTGTTATCTTTCATACGTCTCCCTTGATGTATGGACAGGACACCTTCAGTTCTGCGGCCGTACTGGCAGCTCCATCACACAAGAAGACAGAACCCTGGTATTAACGCGCTCAAGGTCTTGAGGTCACGCCTCTCGACTTGGTCAGTCTTGCCTGAGCCTCAAGTTTAGGAGTAGGAACAAGCACGAAGTGCCACAGAGTTTGATACAGCTACCTGTTTGGTGACCCTTCAAGCGCAGTGAACATGGATCGGCTCCAAATGCTTCCGATGACCGATCAGGCAGGGTCTCTCACAGCCACAGGCAGCGTGAAGGCTGAACCTGTGTTTCACTAAGATCTTGGCCCAAATCCTTGGCAGGGGAGTTCAGCGCGTCCTCAAAAGCTTTGGACCTTGCAGCTCAAAGCCACAGCAAGTGTAAGGCACAGACTTCTATTCTGAGGGAGAGCTAGCACGGCGAGCACGAGACCCACGAATAGATCTTGGTTGCTGGCTGCGCATGTCATCTTTAGATCCAAGCTGAGCTCGCAACACAGGCTCGGGCTCAATCGCAGATGATTGGAAAAAGAGTGCGAACAGAGCCATTCGTCCTGGGCACAGAAAGCGACAATTCCTCGTTCGGAGCTGGGAATGATGACAATGTGCCCAGAAGCTCGTGTGGTATCTGAGTGGCATGTTGCTGCACATCGTGCTGAAACCTTTCATATCGAGAATGCACGACCTAGCAATGCCCAGCCTGCTAATCTGTCGAGTTGTCAGACTGCGATCACCCGCACTCTGACGCTGTGCTGGTCGCTCGGACTCTCATCCGATCTTGCGGATGTTTGCACACATTTGCCGATGACTTCAAGGGCTCAACGCCTCGTGACTGTTTCCGTCTTAGAGACCTCAAGAGACGGGCGACATGGTGCACAGAGCACAGTTCCAGATTCGATGAGCAACTTTGGACACAGACCGTCTTCAATAGGAGTCAGGATTTGGGGAACCCTTGGGGATATGGACGCTCACAATAAAGGTCCCTTTTAAGAGAGCCAAAAGTAGTGTTAAGGAGCGTCCCCTGTAAGGGGTCTTCCTAATACTACCTAAGATTCACGCAGTTTGCAAACAGCTGAATAGCGCTTGCAGTACCCGACACATCTGGCAAAATTTTAAGTCAGTACTATGAAGCCAAGCCCGACAGGGCACCTACGTAAGACACAGTGGCACCGTTGGACTAGGAAACAACCCCAACAAATAGACAGACAGACAGACAGAAAGACAGGCAGGCAGACGGTAGACATGTGAAACGCTTGGACCGTTCAGGGCTCCGACGCCAGCCACGAAGCAATGCCTCATCTGATCCCTTGGCAAGCTCTTTTTCCGGTTCGTTTGCTCTGGCTGAACTCCCCCAAGTAGGTACCACGCTATACTGCTACCAATACCCTACCGAATGTAGATAATAACATGCATTGCAACCACTAATTACCATGCTTGTTACCAAGACGAGGACGAGGACTGCCAGATTCTCAGTACGCTGCGCTGCTGTGTCTGTCAAGGGTGGTGGGATATGGATGAGATCACTTGCAACGTGACAGATCCGTGATTTGGGTCATCCGAGAAGAAATTCGGGAGTATTCCCTTTTGCCACATCCCCAAGAACGGGCCCAGTGCCCGGACAGACCCGCAGGCTCCACCCACCCTAGACTCTTGCCTTTCTTATGCTCTCTGGCCGTCTCCTCTTGGAAATTGCCTTTGAGTAGTTATATTTGATACAGCGGCTTGGAAATTCTGAAGCTCTTGCGCTGCGCCCCTCTCGCCTCCAGCGGCTGCGTAGCGTCGTCGCGCGCATGGAAGGCCAGGGCTCTCGGCTCCTGACAGCAAAAAAGGAGTTCTCAGTGCCAGAACCCAGAACCTGAAAGGAAGCCTTCTTCCCAAGCTCCCACAGACTTCAACCGGGCGAGGCCTCTGCAACTATCTCGGGAGGCTCCGCAGGCACGGAGACCACCAAGTCTGTAACCAGCATGGTCCGAAGCCTGAGGTCTCTTTAGTCTGGGACTCTCAGCTTCAGACTGAGGTCCACATCCCCAAAATAGCACCAGCAACCGTTCGAAAGCGTAAAATTCACGGAAACATCACAGATGAGAGAGGACGGGCCCACCGCAGAAGTTCAGACGACTCTGCCTTTTTGAGTCTGGAGGGAGAGGAAGAGGGGCAGAGCTGCCGAGAGGGCTATGCTGTGCCGAGATCCTGGCCTGCGGATATAGAAAGCCTTAGTCGTAGTCATTTTGTGTTCAGGACTGACCGAAGTGCTCCGAGCACATCAAGCACATCAACCTTGTGCATGAGCGTCTGGACCTCTCAGACTCTGACCGCTTCAGCAAAAGGACCGTTGTTCAGGTCTTTGCCAACAGGTCCAAGGATGCGGAAGTCAAGCCTTGTCAGGCTTCAGCCCTGCACCCGAAACATCCAGAAGCATCTGGGCCGCCCACCCTTCCTTCTGCCAGTCCTCCGGCAGGTCCGAGCCTCGAGAGCGACTGGCACGTCTAAGCGCACTGTCAGAGGTCTTAGGACGCCACCGGCAACTTCGGTGACACTGAGGTAGCGCACTGGTGTCTTTCGGAAGTGTCCGCAGGCGAGCATCCCAGGGGAAGCCGAGAAGCGGCAAGGGAAGCTGCAGCGGCACTGAGAACTGCCCAGGACAAACCCAGACCTGGTGGGGCCGGCATTGAAAGTGCCGCAAACTGAAGATTTCAATTTGTTCATGAATTCCCCGCACCTCTGCTTTTGGAAAGGCCTGAGAGAAAGGCCCTACAAAGTACTTGTGCTCGACCGCCACAGTGGGAAGAACGATGTATGCGACTTCTCCGTGCTGCTCCTCCAACTCCCTGAGTAATCGGACACACTCGTCTGTGGGGGCCACAGGGGCGTAGACGAAAAGCCCGGGTCGCGTCTGCATGCGATATACTGTCATCCGAATGGGAACGTGAATGTACAGGATGCCCTGCTTTTGCTCGAAGGTCCACAGCTCACCTGGACTGTTCGGGGTCTGCAAAGGAGATCGACCGAAGCCCCGACACATTCTCATGTTGACTCGTGTTTAAGGCGGGAGACTGCAAGACTCGTGACAGACATCTTGCCTGGCAGCAACATGATGGTGGCTTCGTGCACGTGCATTTCATCGTGTTTACAGGAAATGTGCGAAGAAGCTTGAAAGTGAACTCTGGCATTTCGAGTGACGCCACTCATTCGTCAGCAGCAACCGTGGCATTGGTGAGAAACCGTGTTAGTAGCTGGGTTTGGCAAACTGCGGGGTAATCTCTCTTGGTGATTGCCGCACTGGTCTTTACGAGTGTTGTCGGTGAGAAAGCACCTAGATGCTGAGATTTTGGGAGAGCCCAGTCGAAACAGTGAGCACTAAGGGTTTGAGTTGTGGCACCAGCCGGCAGTGGCCAGTGCAGCAGGGGTCTAATACTCAACTTCTTTTCTGATGGACGCCTTGTGTCAATATGTTCGTACGTTCGGAGAATGCAAGTCCAAGCCGGGTTTGAAGGACTGCCAGGGCAGGAACTCTCCGACTCCCGGCAGAATCCCTCAATCAGACTCCAATGAACTAAGCTACTTGGGTCTTGCACTGTCCGGAGTCCGGCCTGGGATGACCTCATATCGCAGTGTTACTCGGCGCTCGTATGGAGCAATCGGCAGGGCCGGCCACAAACCCCAACGCTGCTCAGGCTTCGGGGCTCCTGGAGGTCTCCGCCACTCTGCCACCTCACTGGTGGCAGTGATGGCCTCGGTGGCCACTGCACGCCGTGCCGTCGCGTTGTCAGGCGACGGAAGGAAGAAGCTGCAGCACTGTCCGGTCAGAAGCAGAATGGCTGCAAGGCCACATACAGCAGTTCGGGCACCACCTCTCTCACTCTGCAGCTTGGGCTTGCCCGGCAGCCTTCGACGCATGACCGAGCGAGAAACCTGATCTCAACTCTAGGAATCTAGCGCACCGTAGCTCTAAGAGCTCGAGCCGATGGGCAACGCAGCAACACTTCACAGCCATTCCATAGAATTATTCCATCCTCGCCTACTACTGTTGGCTTCGTACCGATGAAGACTTGCAGCACTGTGCAATGCGGACCCACCTCTGTACTTCTAGAGGTCTCGCTAATCTTCGCCAGGACCTGGTCTCGGCCCTGCTTGCACTCCTGAAGCACTCGGGCTGAAGATAGCAGCAGGAATACAGGAAAAGCCGTGGTTCAAATTGCACTTGGGTTTGTCTGTGCACATGTCATGTCCTACCTACATACCGACGAAGGGGCTCTGGACCCTATTCTCCATGCCTCACAGGAGACTACAGCGCACGTCAACTGCCGTGCACTGCCAGCACTTGTGCAACAGCTACAAAGCATGCGCTTGCAGAGCGGAGGTCCGCGTTTTCAGGGTCCAGCTTCAATCCTGCACAGCTCAAGCTCTACAGCCAGCAGGTGGGACTGATTGCATCGTTGCACTGGGAGAAAATGCAACAGCCAGCGGCATTGCCAAATCTGCCACCGAAGTCCTTGCTCGTAAGCCTGCAGAGACTTGTGGTATTCCTTCATAAAGAAGTGCCTTGGCATTCAGTCTTGGTGCTCCACTCATGGGTGTGATGGGCCCCGAGACGCCTTTCTTGTTTCCTTCTTCTGAATGTCTGATGAATGCTGCTTGGTTGCGCTGCTCCTTTCCTGGAATACGCTTTCACGAAGCTGGGGTCCTGAAGATTAGAATCTGCCAGCTATGGTTTTCAGAACGAGCTGTCAGCATTCCCCGCCAGCTTGAGGCACTCATCCAGGTCTCGAAGAGCATCAGGATACCTCGCTTCGGAAGATTCCGTGGCGTCCAAACCGCTGCCACAATCTGCTGATGCAGCGCATGCAGCAAGCTTTCTGAAGCTGGAACACCGTGTTCGACCATGCTCATGTCTTGTCAGCATGAATGCTTCAAACAAACTGCAATCTGGAAGGCGTTCGCATCCTGAGACCGGTGCGCCAAGAGTTTGGTCAGTGCGGCTGCCCTGTTGGAGTACATCTTTGCATCCTCACCAACTTGTGGCTGCCACGTCTTTCGACCGGGAGCTCTAGTGATCCTTCAGCTAGCTCTCGCGCAGCAAAGTGGGGCACATGGTCTTTCAGCGGCTGCAGGAAATTCGGTCGTCGAGTTTGACACTCCGAGAAACGTTTTCTTCGCTCCTGCCGCTCCTCCGAGAACTCTGCTATGCAGCGGCTGTGAGCACTACGGTCACTACAGTGTCAGCGGCAGGACAAGCTGCAGAGCTTCTTGTAAGCCGAACAGCATGCTCTTGGCAATCTCACTCAGCCAGCGCCCCAGCAGAAAAAAGCCAGTCTCGCTCCCAAACCTAGCCCCAAGAAACCCCCCTGAGGACTAAGCCTGGCGGGGCAAAAGTTTCTGAGTTTCTGTTACGAGCTGATCTGAAAGCAAAATGACTCGTTCGAGTTACCAGCCGAGCGCCGTACAAGAGCTGAGTGACTATCTGTAATGTCTTGGCCCCAGCCTTGCACCAAAAGGGCAACATGTGCCCTGTGCCGGGCACACGACGCACACAGCCGTTTCTTGACAGGCAAATCTTGAAAACAGATCGATAAGACTAAACTTGCTGAGACTCTGTGTTCATTCGAGCACCATTTTATGGCCAATACGAGTCCCAATGGAAACAGCTGAGAGCATGGACAAGGTGTGCTCAGCACAGTTCAAATCAGGAACATGCAAAAAAGGCGTTCGAAGCAACTCGAACGCGAGGCGAGTTGCAGATTTTGCGAAGCCTCACCAGGTCAGTACATAAGGCCGTCTCTCACACAAGCTGAACTCCCACGTGAAATCCTGCACCGGACAGGAAGTGCTCTTTTATATGCTGAAAGCCCGACCCTGATCCTACTCAGCCGCTTCTGCCCGCCGATCTTCTGCGACGCTGCCGGGTCAAGCTCCACATCAAGAGCTCGGAGAGTGCGATGTGGCGGGGACAAGCAGAAGGCTCCTCTGAAGTGCATCTCTTGAGCACAGGTCCTTGGCGCTGCTGGCCGGAGCAAGGAGTCAGCCGAATCAGGCTCACCGCCTTACGTGCGTCGCACAAGGGCCGCCACCTGGCACAGGTTTCCACCCGGACCTGCCCTCTAACTTACGACCCGCGGCCTGGTCGATGCAGACCAAACTGCAAAGCAGCAGGCCAACGTCCACGAGTGGCGCAACACGAAGGCGGTAGAACCTGGTGTTACATGCAAGATCCCGAGAAGTCACTTCAGTGAAGCGTCGTCTCGCCGTCTTCTGAACCGTACACCAACCTCCAAACCTCCCACGATGTCCAACTTCAAAAGACGCCTGAACTAATCTCACTGCCGCGGTGCTCTCCGGTTGGATCCCAGTCTGCTGCACAAAGCTCTGTGGTTGCCAGCAGCTTCCCTGCCTCATTAGGACATGGAGTCTCTAGAGCTGGACGGCAAAATGGCTGGCTTCTCTTCGGGGGCTCACTACTCTTGAAGTGCAAGCACCGGACTTGAATTGCGGGTTCACTCGCTGGGAGGTTCCTGCTCGACTCGCCTCATCGGTGATGTTGACGGCATGGTGATCGAAGGAACCCCAGAAGTGCATGGTGCGCTCTGGAGTCACAAGCTCGTAGCCTTCCTCCAACATAGCGAGGGAGCGAAAGTGAGGCGACAGCTATTATGTCCCTGATTGAGGCTCGCAGTGTGTAGGAGTATGTACGAGAAGAAGAACCGTCTGAAAGGCTACACTTTGCTAAAGCGGGGCGCCAGGCTGCGCCACAAACACAACCCCCTCCCAGTCACTGCCACCAAACATGTGGTAGGTGCACACTGGTGTCCTGCGTGCTGTTCCGACGCAAGGTGGCATAATTGACCTCAGCACACACTTGCAGTAGCCTTCCCAAGGAGACTGCACTGGCACTTCATCCCCTGAGCTCCCTGCTCCGGTGGAAGTCATCAGGGAGAAAGACGGCCCATCATTGCTCCACTCGGGACTCACCCTTCAGAGCGAATCAAGCGAATGCTCGGCAACTGCGTGGTCCTGCTGTCGAGCTGAGCTTCTGACTTTCCATTTCGGCAGCATGCGGACCTGAAAACACCCAAGCACAACAGTCAGCATTCGTGTCCAGGTACGACACCCGCTGAAAGTTGCTACTAATTGCTCTCTAGCAATGGCTGTGTTGGCTCGTGCACGACGTTCCAGAGTTTGGACGCGACTCCTCTCGAACCTTCTTCACCCTGCAGGAGGCAGCGCCCGAATAGCCAAACCTCGTTTCTTGGGCCGAGTTGCTGTGCAAGCAGCTCTCCAGAGCCTGTCGTCAGCTCCAGTCGCCAGGAGCTGCCCCTTGGTGCATCCGACACTCGGAAACCCCTTAACACGACATTTGTGGCTTTACTTATCGCAAAAACTCTTGGTTCACGCCCGTCAGGTTTCTTACCACTTCGGAACCATGCCATGTGCAAGGAGAGCCTAGACTCCAACAACCTGGTCATTAAACTCACCACAACATAGGCAGAAGAACATAGCACACTAAGAAAAGGAACACCTTGTGCTGCCTGAGCCCGGTGCAATGCATCGGGGCCAAAGCTCACAGACCTCGCCCTAGACCTCCTTCCCATGGATGTGGAGCGCCTCCAATGTGCACAGGCCCAGGATGGCTATGGGAAGCTGTCCAGAAAAGAGTGACCCTGCACGTGCTTGGATCGCCAGGGGTGTCACAATGCTGCCTGCATTTGCTTGCGTGCCCGTCCCGGCCTCAGTGGATCTGGAGACGACGGAGACGAGCCCTGTCAGAATCTCACCGGCAAGCGCTTCGTGAAGAGACATGTCTGTAGGGAGCAGGCCTGGGCCAAGCTCCTTGGGAGGACACGAAGGACAACGTGGCCATTGGGGTCGCACACACCTGCAGGCTGCATATTGATAGAACGCGCGAACTTTCCTTTCGACACACACACGCACACACACACACACACACGAGACACTACAGTGCACGATATAAGCTGAAAGAATCAACGTACACGCATGTCAAAGTTTGTCTCCAGTGCTGTTCTGACAAGCTGCTAAATGGCCCAAGTGAAAGGGGCACAATGGGAACGAGCAGTACACACTCGCCTCAGCTTCCAGGGCATGCAGGATGTTGCTTCCGTGATTCAATCATTCACGAGCTGCACGTCACTAGTCAGGAGGCAACTGTGGCAGTAACTATGGTTGCTGTTTGCGACCCAAGGAGCAGCCCCTAGGCACGATCAGGTCTGGACAGAAGTCTCCGCGTGCTTCAGACCTGTACAGAGCTCGGCAAAGGATCGGGCCTACAGTCTGGACATATGTATGTATATTATATATATATATTTATGTATTAGATATATATATATACACAAAATTAAATATGTGGTACCCCCCCTTGGCTTTACCATGTTGTTCCCTGTCAGGTCCGCGACCTCGAGGGAAGCGATTTGCCACCATCAGAAAGTATCGAGAGGTCCCTAACCACTAATCTTTGGAGGCCGCTTAACAAACAAAAAACAAAAACCTATTCCCCAGCTCCATTCCTAGAAAGGCTCTGAAAAGATTGTTTTTGTTCGGGACCTTTCCATGCTTTGAGCTTTTCATCGTCACAGAGTATCTAGAGGTTCCGAAATTCCAAAAAACCTATTCCCGAGCTCCATCCCAGGGAGGCTCTGAAAAGATGGTTTTTTTTAAGGGGACCTCTCGATGCTTTCGGCTTGCGAGCTTCACAAAGCATGGAGAGCTCCCTAAAAGGCCTCTGTCTGAATAGAGCCGGAGAATAGGTTTTTTGCGGACATCTCGATGGATCCGCCGTCCATGGATTGTTTTTGTTTAATGGACCTCTCGATACGTTCAGCTTGCGACGGTTACAAAGTATGGAGAGGTCCCCTGAAAAAGAAAAAAAACAATCTTTTCAGAGCCTTTTCTAGGAATGGAGCAGGCTTTTTGCTTACAATGTTTAGGGTTTAGGGTGTGTGCGGTTTGGTGTTTGGGGTTTACACGGTTTAGGGTTTAGGGTTTACACGGATTAGTTTAACCACCGAACCCAAAAGCTGGCCCCTCCAAAAAGCTTTGTGTACTTGCTTGACAACAAACCTGTTAACCTTGCAGCCCTTAGCCCTCAAGCCTGAAGCTTTGAAGTCCTTTTTTGCAGCCTGGCCTCCTGAGACTTACAGTCACAAAGCCCTACATTTAAACCTAAAGCACTGAAGCCTTAACACCTCTTCCTCTAAACCCTAAACCTATTTCCTCAAATTACACTGTCTGTCGAAACAAAATAGATGCCAGTAGCCTTTTTCCACCCGAAACCCTACACCCTAAACCCCAAACCCGATTAGGGTTTTAGGGTGGGCCCCATGGACATCAGGGCTCATGGCTTAAGGAACAAGAAACCCAAAAACTTTTCTTGTATTACCTGATCTCCGCTATTTTACTAGGAAAAACCTCCCTACTATGTCTAAGTCCTGAACCCTAGACCCTGAAATGCACACTCAGAAAGGCTGTTAACCTTTTGGGGTGCCTAAATTATGTCTTGCCTTCGTCTTCCTCCCCAATACATATGCCAGTCCCTTCAATCAAGCCAAAGGGCTCATACGGTTTATGGCTTAGGGTTTACACGGTGCAGGGTTCAGGGCTAACACGGTTTAGCTACCAAACCCAAAACCTGAACGTTTCCTTAAGGGTGAGGTGCTTTTTTGATGGAAACACACTAAACAACAAACCTGTTAACCTTCTATCTCTTTAGCCCTAAAGCCTTAAAGTCCTAAAGACACAAACCTGGTTTCAGCACCCCTTTAAGCCCTAAACCCTAGACCCTATTGAGGGGTTTAGAGTTTACCCTTTGAGCATCAGCAGTTTAAGCTTTAAGAAACACGAAGCAAAAGTATCAAACAATTACTTGGCCTCGTGCCTGTTTAGAAGGAGAAAACTCCTTACCATTCTTGAGTCCTAGGCCATAAGCCCTGAAATTCATACTCAAAAACAGCTAACCTTGCAATTCATACTCAAAAGCAATTAACCTTGTCGTGGCCTAA